TGCGACAGAGCGTCCGTTAAAGACGCAGTTGTGTGACGTGATAGTATGCCCCAAAGCTTGCCTACTCTTCTACTACACACTCAAAAGTTTGTACTTTTTCTTCACCAAGAGTACATACTTTAAGGGCGTAGTATAAGTAGGCACATTGAGAGCAACTGATTTAATTAATAATGAAACAAGCGAGTCACTGAATCATTTGTTCAACTGATTCATCCAAAATCATTGAATCATTCATTCAACTGATTTGTTCAGAAACACTTAATTCCTTCAGGAATTAAACAAACCACTGAGTCGCTGAATTATTCGCTCAACTGATCCATTCCAAACACTGATTCATTTCGGAATTAAACAAGTGGCTGAGTCATTGAATCATTCATTCAACTGATTTGTTCAGAAACACTTAATTCCTTCAGGAATTAAACAAACCATGAGTCACTGAATTATTCATTCAACTGATTCATCCAAAATCACAGATTCATTCAGAAACAAAACATGTGACTGAGCCATTGTATCATTCATTAACTGATTTGTTCAAAAACACTGATTCGTTCAGGAATGAAACAAGTGGCTTAGTCACTGAATCATTCACTCAACTGATTTGTTCACTGCTGCTGTGTGTTGCCCAGAGATGTGATGGTTGATTCTGCTGTGGTTCAGTGATGGCAATTCTGTGTTTAAAAGTCACTGAAGTTATTGAACAGTACACAATAAATTGAACGGTAATAATAATTTTTCTAGGCCTACTCTTTATGCTGATGGTCAGATATTCTTCCGTTGAAGCTCAAGACTCACATTGGATGATCTCAAATCACATGATCAGTAGGTTGATTTAGAAAAAGTGTGACATAAATACTAAGATTTTCTAAAACTAATTTTTTCCTTTTCAAAACTTGCTTGAACTAATTTGACCATCTTATTCAGCAGGTTACGCAACAGCAGGTCAGATCGAGCTCTGATTTAAAATGTAACAAAATGATAAATATTCAAGACGGGCCCTGTAAAGATCAGAAGATTGTAATCTAACATAAGCCACTGCAGCCAAACTCTGAGAGCGAGACTGCTGAGGCATGAAGCAGGTTAGATGAGGAGAGGACGCGTCTCTTATCTGCAGGATAATGACTTTCCCTGCGGCACACCACTGCTCAGTCCTTAGGCTTCAAGGAAGGCGGCTCCTAAACTGAAATGTGTTTCCTTGTTCTTTGTGTCGCAGTGAAGCCGAGTGATCGTCAGCAGAATGAGCTCTTCTCCCGTCGTCTCACGCGTGTCCGTCGACATCCTGGAGGAACTGCAGCGCTTCGCAGCTCAAAACCTGGAGAAGCTCGAGCTCAACAAATACTATGAAGTCATACGGGAGCTCGGGAAGGGCACCTACGGCAAGGTGGACCTCGTCAGCCACAAGATCAGAGGTACAGCACATTTACAGACCAGGGGTATTATAGTTAGCGCAAACTAAAGAAAACAACAACAACGGTTTCATTACATGAAATAAAATTAACAGAAAATTAAATATAAAAAAAACTTAATCTTATTAAATTCTCATTTTCATTTAGTTTAAATTTAAGTATTAAAATAACTTAAAAAAAAATGCTCGACCAGTAAGAGGTTTTTAATTACATTTTAATTATCACATATGACTTTGCAAACATTTATTAAAAATGAGAACCACTTTTTCTCAGTACTAATCATCCACATTTGTAAGTAAGAGTAATGGATTGCATCACAGCATCCATAATATTGCCATTATTGTATATATATATATACAGGGGTGCAACCAAAATAAAAAATGCGCTGGGTAAATGTCCGCATGGTTGACAGCTGTTAATGCACAAACACTGTAATACTGTATAAGATTTCCATTCGAACTGAAAGCAGAAATCTGCCAGTTTCAGAGCAAAACACTGAAAGAACATATACTTACCTGCCAGCAACCCGCCAAAATAAAAGCGTGCTGATTTTCGGTTTGAAAAAAAATAAATAAAGTAAAATTGTTTTTATTGTATTTTTTTTAAAGTTTACTATAAAATAATTGTATTTTTATTTAATACTCACTTTTTATTTTAAAATATAATGGTATGATCACATTTGATTTATTATTTTATTTAAAGTGCAATAATACTATTATATTATCTTTTATAGTTATATTTAATGGGTCACACTATTGTTTAATGTGAGCACCAAACCTAATCTTCAAACTTACATGCATCCCTGTGTAGATGGATGGACGGATGGATGGATGGACGGACGGACGGATGGATAGACAGATGGACGGATAGAGGGATGGATGGATGGATGGACAGACGGATGGACGGATGGATAGACAGATGGATGGATGGACGGACGGATGGATGGACGGATGGATGGATGGACGGACGGACGGATGGATAGACAGATGGACGGATAGAGGGATGGATGGATGGATGGACAGACGGATGGACGGATGGATAGACAGATGGATGGATGGACGGACGGATGGATGGACGGATGGATGGATGGACGGACGGACGGATGGATAGACAGATGGACGGATAGAGGGATGGATGGATGGATGGACAGACGGATGGACGGATGGATAGACAGATGGATGGATGGACGGACGGATGGATGGACGGATGGATGGATGGACGGACGGACGGATGGATAGACAGATGGACGGATAGAGGGATGGATGGATGGATGGACAGACGGATGGACGGATGGATAGACAGATGGATGGATGGACGGACGGATGGATGGACGGATGGATGGATGGACGGACGGACGGATGGACGGACGGATGGATGGATGGATGGATGGACGGACGGATGGATAGTTGGATGGATAGATGGATGGATGGATGGACGGACGGACGGATGGATAGACAGATTGACGGATAGAGGGATGGATGGATGGATGGACAGACGGATGGACGGATGGATAGACAGATGGATGGACGGACGGATGGACGGACGGACGGATGGATGGACGGACGGACGGATGGACGGACGGATGGATGGATGGATGGACGGACGGACGGATGGACGGATGGATAGACAGATGGACGGATAGAGGGATGGATGGATGGACGGATGGATGGATGGACGGACGGACGGATGGACGGATGGATGGACGGATGGATGGATGGACGGACAGATGGACGAATGGATAGACAGATAGATGATGGATGGATGGATGGATAGACAGATAGATGATGGATGGATGGATAGATAGATAGATGATAGACAGATAGATAGATGGATGGATAGATAAACATTAAACACTGAAAGAAACAATGCATGTATGGAATGTAACTGCTAAAATCTATATTATATTTAATTCATATCTTGAGTTTGATATTGGTTTTAAATGATTTTCTGAATGAAGTTCTGCAGGTGTGAACCGTGATTAACACTCATTACTCTGACAGACGGGTCGGCTGAGGTTTCTGTGAGCCAGGAAACCAGGACTCATGCTCTGTTTTCCTCAACCACAGGTAACAAGATGGCTCTGAAGTTTCTAAAGAAGAAAACAACCAAGCTGAAGAGCTTCTTGAGAGAGTACAGCATCTCGCTCTATCTTTCTCCATGTCCCTTCATCATCAACATGTTCGGCATTGCGTTTGAAACAGAGGAGTGCTATGTTTTTGCGCAGGAATATGCACCATCTGGAGACCTGTTCGATATCATTCCACCACAGGTGATGCACACGAGTACAGAAACTCACCCTCGTGTTGTTACATACCTGCGTGCCGCTGGTCACAACGCCAATCGAGATCTGCGTGTAGAGATCCAATCACGCGCACGAGCAGACTCGAAACTCTCCGGAACGGAGTCTATCGCGCTATTACAGCGCAAAAAAAATGTCTTGATTCTCCGGTCGGCTCGACTAACATTCCTAATAGAGATCGCAATGCGAAGAAACATTGCACTGAAACCCCGCACAGGAGACCCGTTTGCATCCAGAACGATAACTGTAACGATAACTATATTAGCATCCACACCAACTGATGCTCTGTTTATTATAAGCGTGCCACAGTTTTGTTGTCTGCAGATTTCCGGTGGACTCTGATTGGCTGGCGGTGTTTTTATTGTTCATTCACTGTTCTGGAAGTAATTTTCTGAAACTGATGTCTAACTTTTTTTTTTTTTTTTTTTTTTTTTTAAATGTTACTAGTTTCAGAACCTTCAGAGAAAATTTAAAAGTAACATTTGTAAAATGATCAAATTGAATGTTCACGCAACGTTACCATATAACCAAGAAAACAATGTTTTTGAAACATTTAAAAAACGGGACATTTTGAGTTTATAGTTCAAAATTCTGTTTTTTTTCCTCACAATTCCGAGATTATAACTCACAATTCTAATAAGAAAAATCAACTCGTCATTCTCTCTTTTCCCCTCGGCTCAGAATCATGAGTTTATAATCCCACACTTCTGGCTTTTTTTCCCTCAGAATGGACAAATTCGCAATTGTTGAGTTAAATTGAGTTATAAAGTCCGAACGAGGAGATTTAAACTTGCATTTGCGAGAAAAAATGGTGAGATAAATTTGGTAAATGTTATAGGTTTAAATAGTAGTCTATGTGAATATTATGTAGACCTAAATCAAATGTATTCTTTGAAAGTAGTGTAATCATAGCAGGTCTCATCCATAGTCTGTCCGTTTAAACGTCTGCGTTTAGCTTCAAGTAGCGTCTTTGATGACAGTATTCTATAAAAATGATTTGCATTCCTATTCTGACATCCAAAGGCACAACAATACATTTTTCCTCTTGTTCCATGGATTTTCCCTGTGTCCCTCCACTTGTTCCCAGTGCTTTTCTGCCACCACAATGCGCGCGCAGCTGCAAGTGACGTAACGGTGACGTCTACTCCAAACGAGTACTAAAACTGTATATATTTATTATAAGCACGCCACAGTTTTGTCATCTGCTGCTTTAAATGCTCGAGCTCTTGGATTCTGATTGGCTGTCAGGGTTTTTACCGTTCATTCGCTGAACGCTCTCTCAAAGTTATGAACAAACCTTCGTCCAGTCACGTTAATCGAAAATTTGTTCTATTCTAATTTAACGGAAATTTAAAAATGGTAGCACAAAAACACTATGTATACACAATTCATAGAAGTTCGCTGAACGCTCTCTCAAAGTTATGAACAAACCTTCGTCCAGTCACGTTAATCGAAAATTTGTTCTATTCTAATTTAACGGAAATTTAAAAAATGGTAGCACAAAAACACTATGTATACACAATTCATAGAAGTTTTTTTTTAGCTGCACATTCATCCCACATTTTTTAAAGTTGCTACTTGTTTCAGAATTACTAACGTTCCCATAATGTTTACAAAACGATCAAGTGGAATGCTCCCTTAACTTTGGCAGAACCAAGAAAAAACTATTTAAAAAACATTTTGAACAGTAAGAACATTCAGAAATAATGTTTCCATAACTTAATGGGAGCGTCAGCAAAACGTTACTTTTGTTAGCTGGGTGTCGTTATCGTTATAGTTGTAGTGCGGACTTCCCTATTCTCTTTGAATTAGAAGGATTATTAAAACTTCGTAGTTGTTATAGTTATTGTCTTTGAACGGGCTTTAGCTCATGATTAAGCAATGGACCAATAAATGAGTGGATTGAACATCTTGAACACCTTGAACAAGTGAATCCAGCGGGAAGAGTTACGAGGACTTCCCAAAACATCTCTAAAGCAATATATGAAGCAAAAAAGAAAGGAGAATATCTGGGATCTTCATTCTTGTGAGGAATTCATCAGCAGGCATTTCAGCGAATAAGACGTTGATGATACTTGCTGAGATTTAGTGCGTACGAATTATTTAAAGCAACCAAACGAAAGCTGTTCCAGAGGTTCATGACACTGTTTTTGAGGCTGAAATAGCAGATGTGAATTTAACAGCACTAAACTTTATTCGTTTGGAGTATTCTTTATTTTCTGTGAATGCTTTATGAGTCGGACCTCGTGCACTGGCTGTAGTGGTGAACACTTTATCTGTTTAAACACCGACAGCATGAAAATATGTATTTTTGTCTACTGTACAATTTGGTTTTCTTGGTGTTCCTCCTTTAAAGTCTCATTTTTTTTCTACATTGGTTTGAAGTGAAACTCCAAACTTAGAGCGCAGGTGTGCGCGAGCGATCACATTCTAATAACTGCATGCGAGAATTGATGTCATGTAAACATTTTTGCTGTCTCGATTTCTTGCATAATGTTTCAGAGTGAAATTGTAGTAGACGACGTAGGGCGAAACATCCAGCCAGCCAAATGAACTGTTCGTTTTGTTGTTGTGTTTGTGCACTGCTGCTGCTGCTGTTAATTTCTCAATGAGATCAAGAACTACCTGATTGAAACACCTCACTTCTGTCAGACACTGATAGCGATTGTTTTCAGGAGAGGTTGATGGGAATCTTGCGGAGAAGTTTGCCATTGAACTAGGCCTTGGAGACGAGCAGAAGGGTATAGATGCGTTTGGTTTTATGCTACACGTCTGCATGAGCTTCAACATTGAGTATGTTCTGAGAAGAAAAGGTTAGCAATAGTCATCAAAAGAGGCTCATCGGAGCAGAAATATCCTGTTCTTACGCATCGTAGACACATACTGGCCATCAGACGCCTTCAGCAGTGCGTGAGCTTATGTCAGGAACAAATGAAAAGAAGCCGTTTGGATTCTGGTGAGGGTTTTGAGTTTGTTATCTGTCGGAGGGCTTTCAGTCATCAAAGCAAACTGAAATCTGTCTTTGCAATACAACTGTCTTCCTGTAAGTTCAGATTTATTCAGAAATAAATCTTGACTGAAATGTGCACGTGTTTGTAAGTTTGAATTACTGCTTTTGGTTTTGTGACTTTTTAATCTTAAAATTCAGACTTTTTTTCTCTTGGAATTCTGAGTTTATATTTCACAATTCTGAATTTTTTTCCCTCAGGATTATAGGTTTTTCTCGGAATTCCAGGTTTGTAGTATCTCACAATTCTGACTTTTTTTCTCTCGGAATTCTGAGTTTACTTCTCGCAAGTCTGACTTTTTTCCTCATATTTCCGAGTTTATATTTTTTCTTGGAATTTTAATCTTACATTCCACAATGCCAAGTCTGCATCTTGAAATATTGACTTTTTTCTCGGAATTCCGAGTTAAATTTCACCACTCTGAATTTTTGTCCTCAGCATTCTGTTTTTTTTTTCTTGGAATCGCCAGTTTGCATCACACAAATTTTTTTTCTCTCGGAATTCCAGGTTTATAGTTTCTCACAATTCTGATGTTTTTTAGTTTTTTTTTAATTATGAGTTTAAATTTCACAATGCCGAGTTTGCATCTTGAAATTTGGACTTTTTTTTTCTGTATTCCGAGTTTAAATGCCACATTTGTGACTTTTCCTTGGAATTCCGTGGCAGAAATAAGCTACGTTAAATGTTATGTAGTTATGGGTACAAAAATAAAAATAAAATTGCTAGCCATATTAATCATAAAACTATATGCAAACACAAATGAGTGTGAGACCGACGGCAAAGTAAAAGAAGCCAGTTTATTACGCTGACCAACTGGGTTAAGTCAGTTCAGGATAAATACATTTTGGGTAAGAATGTCAACAACAACGCAAAAGAACCCTGCTCAACCCTGAGATTACGATCGGAAAAGATGGAACATTTGGGAAAAACAATGCAAACAAAAACAGAATTTGGTATGATGCTAAAACATGACAATTCATTCAAGCTAGCCAAAAAATAATAATTGAATGTATTCATTCAGGATTCAGTCCTGAACAAAAGTATGGCACACAACAGGAGTGCATTAACACAGACACGAGCAACATCTCAGGAACCAACCTCTCAACACAAGCTGCCAAACTACATCAGGCTGCATTTGGCACAGATTCATCTGGAACTCTGGACAGAAATATTGACACATAAATAGTGCTGCACATCTACCGAACGAGTCTCAAAATCCTGATCTCTTTCATCACACATAAAACAAGTGCATCCTGGGTAAAACGAATAAAACCACTTTTAGAAAAGAATTACGTGTTAACAAATTGCATCAAAACAGTTCACAACTGTTGAAAGGAAATCCTTCAAGGGCCCCTGAAGTTACAAACCCAAAAGATGCCATGGCATGAGTACGTTACAGGTCATTTCTGATGATACGTCCTCACTAATGCAGGCTTATCGTTTACACTAGATATAGATTACGCAGAGCATGTAAGTGCATAGAACTATAAGAAAATCCACTGGATGAAGATATCTGATATACTGCAACACTAATATTCAGCATTTCATTACAATAAACGTTTGCATTCTGTGAATTATACAATTAATGTAACTGAAAACGAATATTAAATACTTCACGTTCACAATGTGGGCACACGTCCTCAGCGTGAAGAAATCATCACACGTTCCCGTCACAAACGCTTGCTAGATGCTTCATCTCATGTTTTCCTTCACGACTAGATGCCAACTGAATATTAAGTGATGATTATGAACACGCGTTTACATTCTGACAAGCAGTATATTTAAAATTCAGATGATACAATTTATTTTCTTCATAAATTAAGATCAAATGAACAAAAAAAATAGATTTTGGAGAGAAGCCTTTGCTTACAAAAAACAAAAGATATAAAGGAAATCCTTCAAGGGCCCCTGAAGTTACAAACCCAAAAGATGCCATGGCATGAGTACGTTACAGGTCATTTCTGATGATACGTCCTCACTAATGCAGGCTTATCGTTTACACTAGATATAGATTACGCAGAGCATGTAAGTGCATAGAACTATAAGAAAATCCACTGGATGAAGATATCTGATATACTGCAACACTAATATTCAGCATTTCATTACAATAAACGTTTGCATTCTGTGAATTATACAATTAATGTAACTGAAAACGAATATTAAATACTTCACGTTCACAATGTGGGCACACGTCCTCAGCGTGAAGAAATCATCACACGTTCCCGTCACAAACGCTTGCTAGATGCTTCATCTCATGTTTCCTTCACGACTAGATGCCAACTGAATATTAAGTGATGATTATGAACACGCGTTTACATTCTGACAAGCAGTATATTTAAAATTCAGATGATACAATTTATTTTCTTCATAAATTAAGATAAAATGAACAAAAAAAATTGATTTTGGAGAGAAGCCTTTGCTTACAAAAAACAAAAGATAAGTTTGCACCAACATATAAATATGACACATACTTAGTAAAATCATATTGGTAAATAAGACGCTGTGAGGATTCGTCTTCTGCTTCGAGCCCCTTAAATGCACAATTCCCTGACGTTCCCAACCTCGCAAAATAACTCTGTCTTTAGTGCGAGTCTCACAAAGTGCCATTTGTGTGCTAGTGCCGATGTTATGAGCAGTGCAGCAGCACAATTATTAAGGTGTTTGGGTGTTGTCTGAAGGTCCTGCGGTCGGCGCGCACAGAAACCCTGGAGTTAGAGATCAGCTGCACTCTATGAGGACAGA